ACCCTAGCAGCAGGGCCTTCGTCTGGCCGTCCAACACAACCCTAAACGATCACGACAGGAGGAAGAAGAAGAAGAAGAAGAAGAAGAAGAAGAAGAAGAAGAAGAAGAAGAAGAAGAAGAAGAAGAAGAAGAAGAACGGCGCTTTCGTCGTCGGGGCCTTCGTTGTAGCATCAGCAGCAGGACAGTCGGAGCCTTTGTCGTAGCAGCAGCAGCAGGACAGTCGGGGCCTTTGTCGTAGCAGCAGCAGCAGGACAGTCGGGGTTTTTGTCGTACCAGCTGCAGCAGGACTGTCGATGGCGATGGCAACGGGCGACGGGCGACGCCGCAGCAGGACGGCGCAGGAGGAACTTCGATCGTGCTGGGGGGTGAGTGGCAGACCACCCCAGCCGATCCCAGGTTTGAACAAGGGGATGTTTGGCGCCTAGATCCCCCGGCTCTGTGGCCGTCAATCATGGTGGATCGATGGCCACAGAGCCGTCACAAAGTTTTGAAAATCCTGCAGGCCTACCGGGCCCAACGGGACGGTTTTTCGGGCCGGTTGGACCTGGTAGGCCTGCTGGAGGCCAACAGCAGCGAAAAGGGGGTCCGAGACCCCCAGACAGGTGATTTTGCTGGGGAGGCCCGGCCCCCAACCGGGTGCCCTGCCTGGCCAGGCCGCCCGGGACCTCCCCTGGGCCCCCGTCCGTCAGCCAGGCGGCCCTTATCCCCACCCAGTTGTTTTGTTATTTTTTTGTATCTTGCTTTCATAAATGGTTCACTGTGGTTTTCTGCCTTTGCGTCAAAATAAGTGCTTGATAGGATGCGCTCTTCTTATTTCTCCTCCTGCTTTTTTCTCCCTCCCCCTTGGTTGATTGGTTCTTTCACGACCTCGGTTCACCCATGAATGTTTGCCTACCAATCCTTGTTGGCTGCCATCGGTTTACGAAACACCTTGTCTCAGATGCCCGTAAGTATAATCAGCGAGGGTAATGATGAAAGAGGAGGTTTCGCTGATTGCAATCCCTGGGTATTAATGCTTTCGTTCCGAGTGCCAAATTGATTCAGATTGTTATTTATTATGGTATGATTGCATTTATGCGCATTTTTGAAAGAGTGGCTCGCTGTGATTCCTCTCACAGTAGCGTCCTGTTCTCTTAACACACACACACACACACACACAAATGGCAAGCCCGTGGGCGAGCGGGGGCGAAGGCGCGACAGCGGGCGGGTGCAAGACGGAACACACACACACACACACACATATTCAACCTCCTGATGAGTCTCTGAAAGTCCAACGAAATGGTCTGGCACAGTCATGCTTTTTTAGAGTGTATAGCGAATATGACAACACACCCAAAAAAAAAGAAGAAAAGAAAAAAAGTGTGGCGGTGTATATTTCCATGTTGTAGCGGGAGATTCATTCAGTTTTGCTCATCCTATCGATGGAAGTACCATGAGGCCAGCTGCGGGATTGGAGACTTACCTGTTCTCTCTCTCTCTCTCTCTCTCTCTCTCTCTCTCTCTCTCTCTC